CCCTCCCCTCCCCCTCTCTCAACACCCTATTATTTTGAATGCTTGTTAAGAGGAAAAACACCCTTCGGTGCTTGGGTTGTGAATGGGAAGCCTCTCCCAGCTGCACAGTGACACATTTTTTTTAAGGAGAAAAGGACTCCAGACCTTTTTGCCAAAAGGGGGATGGGGAAGTGGAATAATGTTACTGAGTGATTATTTCGGCTGAGGTGTGTTACTTGGTTTTTTTTTTTTTTCCCTTTTTGATCATTTGGTGTTTAAGTAAAATGAGGCACACACAGGCTTGTGTGCCGAGTGGCGTGAGAAATACCTTTTGATTTTCGGGCCTAATTTTAAAAAATGGTAAAGGATTAAAAGGTAAGCATTGTGTGTGTGTGTGTGTGTGTGTGTGTGTGTGTGTGTGTGTATGTGTGTGGTGTGTATTTATTTATTTTCTTGACAACTGTTAAAAGGGGGCTGATCCCTTTAAAAACTGTTTTAACTGCTCTTTGTCAAACACATACTCATTTGTGGTCACCGAGGCCACCGTGGTGCAGATCACCTAAAGTGTATGTCTTAATCAGTTTCCCTATAGTCAGTAGCACCATATTTAACAGACTGAGCAGGTCTGTGACCCAGGGTTATGGCAAAAATTGTTTAGATGAATTTCCCTTTTTTCTCAAAAGGCAGATATTTAACCTTTCTGCTCACGCTGTCTTTTTACGGAGAGAAATACTCTTAGAGAGGTCTGTATATATTTCAGAAAGAATTGCTTGGCTGGGGATGGGGGAAAAGGGAGTGGTATTTTATTTGTGTGTGTGAGGGGGACTACTGTTGCCCCCCTCCCGTTTCTTATGGGGAACAAAGCTATATTACTCAGGCAATTTGTAAGTAGTAGTAAAATTAGAAAGAAAAAAAATTTAGTGACATCATTTTGAACATGGGTCCCAGAGAACTTTCAGGGCCTGGTTATTTACACTGCAAGAGCCAAGATATGTTTAGGGATGTTTAACAACGTGCTTTACTTGTCTAAATGTCCACGATCTTTTCCTGGGGTTGAAATAGCCCATGTGCCAGGCAAAATGTTCAACTTAAAAAAAAAAAAAGCCACAAAAATTTTTCTGGGCTTGAATTAGATCCTTGGAGATATTTTAACGCTTTTAAAGAACTGGCTATCCCCCTGTTGTTTAGAGGGGTGTTCAGCTTCTGTAAGATGCTTATTGTCGGGGTGCTGTTCAAGTCTGCCTGTTTGCCTTTAAACCTGGTATTGGACTGTGCAGACAATAATGAGCCCCTCTCTATTCTTCCTTGTACCCCTTACCAACTCCCTGGTATTAATCGTTTTCTATTCCAGTAACATCCAGACAAGAAATATTCGACTTTTTCCTCCTCCACAGGAGATGGTGGACCTGGACTGAGGGTGTGAGATCCCTGGACACATTCTTGGGGCAGGAAAAAGCAGAAGATTGGAAGGATTTTTTTTTTTTTCTTTAAGAGAAAGCCCAGCGGAGCTAAACGAATGTCCCCTCATCTCCCAAGGAAAGTTCATCGGATTTTTAATCTAGAGAACTCATCTTCAGGATGTCCGTGAACGTTTCGACTGCAGGAAAAGGTGTGGATCCAAATACAGTTGATACTTATGACAGTGGCGATGATTGGGAAATCGGGGTTGGAAATTTAATCATTGATTTGGACGCCGATTTGGAGAAGGACAGACAGAAATTTGAGATGAATAATCCCACCAACAGCACTACCAACAGCAACACTAAGGATTGTGGAGGTCCGGCCTCCAATGGGACCGGTGCTACCTCAGCCTTAGCTGATGGCCTAAAATTTGCTTCTGTTCAGCCCTCCGCTCCCCAGGGGAATTCACACAAAGAGACCAGCAAATCAAAAGTGAAAAGGGCTAAAACTTCTAAGGATGCTAATAAATCTCTGCCTTCTGCTGCCTTGTATGGAATTCCCGAGATCAGCAGCACTGGCAAGAGGCAGGAAGTCCAAGGGCGCCCTGGAGAGGCTACTGGCATGAATTCAGCGCTGGGTCAAAGTGTGAGCGGCGGCGGCGGCGGCGGCGGCAACCCAAATAACAACGGTACCAGCACCGGGACCTCGGCTGCCGCCGCAGGGGCAAGCTCCTGTGGGAAAAGCAAGGAAGAGAAGCCAGGGAAAAGCCACAGCAGCCGAGGCGCCAAACGGGATAAGGATGCTGCGAGATCCCGGAAAGACAAGCACGACCTGCTGCAGGTCCACCAGAATGGCAGCGGAGGCCAGGCCCCCTCCGGTGGTCACCTCTATAGCTTCGGGGCCAAGAGCAATGGAAGTGGTGCGAGCCCCTTCCACTGCGGGGGCGCTGGGAGTGGCAGCGTTGCGGCTGCAGGGGAAGTTAGCAAAAGTGCTCCGGATTCGGCGCTCATGGGAAACTCTATGTTGGTCAAAAAGGAAGAGGAGGAGGAGGAGAACCACAGGCGAATCAAGAAACTGAAAACCGAGAAGGTAGGATAAGGTCGCCTTCTTGTGTGTGTCCCACTCTGTACGCATCTGTTTGGGGATGTGGGATGTGCCTCCGGGTGCCTTACACTTCCTAGTGCTTTCGGGTTCTCTGTGATTTCTATGACGCTCATCCTTTATGGGTGTTATCCTGAGTGCAGTGTTTGGCTCTTGCTTCTGCTGCTGCTGCTTTCTGCTGCTTGTGGTGCCAGGTTTGAAAGGTCATGGGTTGGGAGGTCCTGAGTGTCCTAAGTGCCTTTTGCCTTGTAAGGGCTCCTGGCCAGCCAGCAAATTGTCCGCGTGCTTTGAATAGAAAGCCTGCTGCAGCACTAGCTTGACTTTCGTCCTGGTTTCTTCCCTCAGGAGATTGGCGGCTGTGTTATTGTTAACACCGTGTCCTGAGGAACAGGGTTCTAGTTCCCTCTGTGGGAAGGAGTGTGAAGGGTTATTTGCACTCACTGTTCTGTTACTTTCCCGCAAAAGAGTTCTGCCAAAGGATGTACTCCAGTCTTGCAGTGTTGGTCACTGATTTCGTAACTCTGCAGCCAAAGTGTGATGGTTTTGGTGGCTGTGAGAACTCTCCTTTGACTCTCTCACCTATTTGCAGCTAGAGCTGTGAGAATGCTCTCACTTGGGTATTTAGCTTGCCTGGGCAGCCGGAAGCTCAGTTAAGTAAGAATTGGAAAGCACACTTGGCTCGTGTGCCTGAAATGTGACGCTGTAACCGAAGGGGGCATGGTGGCAGCAGCGAAGGGGGATACTGAACATGCGTGCTGCACTTAACAGTGCTTGACTTAGGCCACTTGGACCCTTGCACCCCTCTTGGTCATTGTCTTAAAGTCTGTGGTTAGACAGTGTACTGGAAAAACTGCCCCCAGTGTTACCTTGCTTAGGCATGGAGGCCTGGGTTTTGTTTGTCTGGGATGCAGTTGCTTTGGGATAATGTCTGGCAATTGATGGGCTTGTGTCTACCAGGAACACTGGTTGGGAGGTGAGAGCGGTGTTTCTATGAAATTAGTGTTTAGATTCATTCCACAAGTTGTAGCATGCAGATGTAGTATTTCTTGTTGTAACAATGTGATATCTAAATATGCTTCTTATATACGGTGTAATTTTCCCCCCTTTCTGTCATGATCAGAATTGTAAATGATGCTGAGAAATCTCCTGGGAATTATTTCTGCATGAAATGATTCACAGTTCTCTGATCCTTTTTATTTTCGACTTCATGCTTAAGATTTAAATTAGAACATAGGACTAAAGCTCTGACTTAGGCACTGATGGAGGTAGAGAAAGGTGTGGACAACAATGTCAAACGTGCAAAAGGCCACTGCCTTCCTTTTGAATCCAAATCCTCTTAGATAGCCTTTTACGTTGGTGAATTTAAATGAACTTAAAAAATATCCTCAGGTTTTGCTTCTTAGGTTAAATGTGTGGTTTCACATAGTTTCTACCAAAAGACGTTTTGAAATCTTCTTATTACTTAGTACAGTGGGGCATTTACTTTTGTTGCCAATAGTCTTCAAATTGCAGCTCTAATCTGCTTTAACTATCTGGATGAATTGCCCTAATCCAGTGCTCACAATGCTGTGGTTAAGGAGTCAGAGCTGTTTGATTGGATCCCCTGGCTGCTGGGAATGTGGGAGGTTCTGCCCTTTTGCATTCCCCTTAGCCTTTTAATCTTCCAGCCAAATGTTCACATTCAACAATTTTGTTTAGCTGGCGATCGGAACATTTCAGGATCTCAAAGGCTGCTGTCATGGCAACTGAGATTAGTGCGTGGTGTCGGTTCTCCAGTTTTTGTGTTCTTTTCGCTTCCCAGTCACAGAAGGAAGTGGGTGAGAAATGGAAAGGCTAATTCTTCACACACATGCAATGCATCTTCAGGCAGAGCAGTATAAATGGAATCGTATGAATTCCATAAACGAGGAGCAAACAAGTCATGGTGGGCGCCGAGGTGGGGGAGGGAGGAGAGAGAACACTGGCCTGCAGAGGGGAAGCTGTGTACCAACCTCAGCCACTTGACTTGGCCCAGACATCCTCTTAGGATGGTTTCCAGGGTGCTGGAACCCACAGTGTTGGCCATTCTTGTCAAGCTGAGGTGTTGGCTTGAGATCTCAAACATTATTCCTTAAACCCTGTCCTCCCCAACCCCCCCGAAAGACTTAGTAACACATCCATCTTTGGCTCCCAGAGATGGCATCAGTACCACGCAGGGAAGCAAATCTAATTCCACTGGTTATGTCAAATTACTTTGCTTTAGAAAACACTTTGAAAGATGCCTATTTGGGAAGCAAAAACTTAGTAGGCCCACTTGACTTGAAAAAAAATTTCATATTTAAAGTTTTTTTTTAAAAAAAATCTATGTTAGTTCAACATTGCTTGAAGAACAAGTGCCTCCCAAGTAAAAGTGATTAACCTGCAGCACTTACATGTGGCT